AAAACCTTTAAACATCTTCTTCTACAGAACTAATGGATGGATGATCACCAAACTTTGTCTGTAGCATTTTTGGGTAGTCTTTTATCAAGTTTGCTCATATTATTTTGATTGACCCCTTTTAGGGGTCTCTAGGGCTAAAAATAGAAAAACCTTTAAACATCTTCTTCTACAGAACTAATAGATGGATAATCACCAACCTTTGTCTGTAGCATTCTTAGGTAGTGTTTTATCAAGTTTGCTCATATTAATTTGATTGGCCCCTTTTAGGGGCAGCAAAAGCTAAAAATAGAAATACCTTTAAATGTCTATTTCTAGAGAACTAATTGATGGATGATCACCAAACTTTGTCTGTAGCATTCTTAGGTAGTCTTTTATCAAGTTTGCTAATATTATTTTGATTGGCCCCTTTTAGGGGTCTCTAGGACTAAAAATAGAAAAACCTTTAAACATCTTCTCCTACAGAACTAATTGATGGATGATCACCAAACTTAGTCAGTAGCATGCTCGAGTAGTGTTTCACCAAGTTTGCTCATATTAATTTGATTGGCCCTTTTTAGGGGGCCGCTTAAGCTAAAAATAGAAATACTGTTAAATGTCTATTTCTACAGAACTAATTGGTGGATGATCACCAAACTTTGTCTGTAGCATTCTTGGGTAGTTTTTTTATCAAGTTTGCTAATATTATTTTGATTGGCCCCTTTTAGGGGTCTCTAGGGCTAAAAATAGAAAAAAAACCTTTAAACATCTTCTCCTTCAGAACTAATTTATGGATGATTACCAAACTTAGTCGGTAGCATGCTCTGGTAGTGTTTTATCAAGTTTGCTCATATTATTTTGATTGGCCCCTTTTAGGGGTCTCTAGGGCTAAAAATAGAAAAACTTTTAAACATCTTCTTCTACAGAACTAATGGATGGATGATCACCAAACTTTGTCTGTAGCATTTTTAGGTAGTGTTTTATCAAGTTTGCTCATATTAATTTGATTGGCCCCTCTTAGGGGCAGCAAAAGCTAAAAATAGAAATACCTTTAAATGTCTATTTCTAGAGAACTAATTGATGGATGATCACCAAACTTTGTCTGTAGCAGTCTTGGGTAGTCTTTTATCAAGTTTGATCATATTAATTTGATTGGCCCCTTTTAGGGGTCTCTAGGGCTAAAAAAAGAAAAACCTTTAAACATCTTCTTCTACAGTACTAATGGATGGATGATCACCAAACTTTGTCTGAAGCATTCTTAGGTAGTGTTTTATCAAGTTTGCTCATATTTATTTGATTGGCCCCTTTTAGGGGCCGCAAAAGCTAAAAATAAAATTACCTTTTAATGTCTATTTCTGGAGAACTAATTGATGGATGATCACCAAACTTTGTCTGTAGCATTCTTAGGTAGTCTTTCATCAAGTTTGCTAATATTATTTTGATTGGCCCCTTTTAGGGGTCTCTAGGACTAAAAATAGAAAAACCTTTAAACATCTTCTCCTACAGAACTAATTGATGGATGATCACCAAACTTAGTCGGTAGCATGCTCGAGTAGTGTTTTACCAAGTTTGCTCATATTAATTTGATTGGCCCCTTTTAGGGGGCCGCTTAAGCTAATAATAGAAATACTGTTAAATGTCTATTTCTACAGAACTAATTGGTGGATAATCACCAAACTTTTTCTGTAGCATTCTTGGATAGTTTTTTATCAAGTTTGCTAATATTATTTTGATTGGCCCCTTTTAGGGGTCTCTAGGGCTAAAAATAGAAAAAACCTTTAAACATCTTCTCCTTCAGAACTAATTGATGGATGATTACCAAACTTAGTTGGTAGCATGCCCTGGTAGTGTTTTATCAAGTTTGCTCATATTAATTTGATTGGCCCCTTTTAGGGGCCGCAAAAGCTAAAAATAGAAATACCTTTTAATGTCTATTTCTAGAGAACTAATTGATGGATGATCACCAATCTTTGTCTGTAGCATTCTTAGGTAGTCTTTTATCAAGTTTGCTAATATTATTTTGATTGGCCCCTTTTAGGGGTCTGTTGGACTAAAAATAGAAAAACCTTTAAACATCTTCTCCTACAGAACTAATTGATGGATGATCACCAAACTTTGTCTGAAGCATTGTTGGGTAGTCTTTTATCAAGTTTGCTCATATTAATTTAATTGACCCCTTTTAGGGGCCGCTAAAGCTAAAAATAGAAAAACCTTTAAATATCTTCTACTTCAGAACTAATTGGTGGATGATCACCAAACTTTGTCTGTAGCATTCTTGGGTAGTTTTTTTTTATCAAGTTTGCTAATTTTATTTTGATTGGCCCCTTTTAGGGGTCTCTAGGGCTAAAAATAGAAAAAACCTTTAAACATCTTCTCCTTCAGAACTAATTGATGGATGATTACCAAACTTAGTTGGTAGCATGCCCTGGTAGTGTTTTATCAAGTTTGCTCATATTAATTTGATTGGCCCCTTTTAGGGGCCGCAAAAGCTAAAAATAGAAATACCTTTTAATGTCTATTTCTAGAGAACTAATTGATGGATGATCACCAATCTTTGTCTGTAGCATTCTTAGGTAGTCTTTTATCAAGTTTGCTAATATTATTTTGATTGGCCCCTTTTAGGGGTCTGTTGGACTAAAAATAGAAAAACCTTTAAACATCTTCTCCTACAGAACTAATTGATGGATGATCACCAAACTTTGTCTGAAGCATTGTTGGGTAGTCTTTTATCAAGTTTGCTCATATTAATTTAATTGGCCCCTTTTAGGGGCCGCTAAAGCTAAAAATAGAAAAACCTTTAAATATCTTCTACTTCAGAACTAATTGGTGGATGATCACCAAACTTTGTCTGTAGCATTCTTGGGTAGTTTTTTTATCAAGTTTGCTAATTTTATTTTGATTGGCACCTTTTAGGGGTCTCTAGGGCTAAAAATAGAAAAAACCTTTAAACATCTTCTCCTTCAGAACTAATTGATGGATGATTACCAAACTTAGTCGGTAGCATGCTCGAGTAGTGTTTTATCAAGTTTGCTCATATTAATTTGATTGGCCCCTTTTAGGGGCCGCAAAAGCTAAAAATAGAAATACCTTTAAATGTTTATTTCTAAAGAACTAATTGATGGAAGATCACCAAACTTTGTCTGTAGCACTCTTGGGTAGTCTTTTATCAAGTTTGCTCATATTAATTTGCTTAGCCCCTTTTAGGGGTCCCTATAGCTAAAAATGGAAATACAGTAAACTTCACTTATAGCGAACACGGTTATAGCGAACTTCCGGTTATAAGGAACAATTTATTTTGGCCCGAATTTTGCCCTTCTTTATTTAGTACAAAAATATACGGTTACAGCGAACACGGTTATAACGAATTATCGCTTATAAGGAACTCATTTGTAAGTCCCAATTTAGTTAAAAGTACAGAAAATTACACTTTTATAACGAACACTAAAATACCGGCTGTCCGTAAATAGATTCCGCATCAGTACGTAATAGTTTTCTATTTAGGATACTTTTAGCATGAGTTCTTGTCACCAAGATAAAACAGTTATTCCTTTTATTGTAATATTTTTTTTTCTTTAATAATTTTGCTCGAGTAAATAAATTATGATCATTTATAATCGGTTTTATACAGAATCACGCATGCTTGTAGGCATAATCCATTGAAAAGTACAAAGTTTGCTTGATTGAATTGAAAATAAATCTATATTTTAATTAAAATATAACAGAAGATCTTCAATATAAAAGGAAAGAACAATCGAAGAACTTGTTTATTCTTCATCATGGAAAGAAAACAAAAAGCACTGAATTTAGAAAGAAAATATGATATTTTATGAGAAATTGAGAAAGGGATTAAAACTAAAACTGAAATAGCAAAGGATTTTCAAATTACAAAAAAGTTCAATCTCGGGTATTGTGTCATAAATAGAAATAAATGACTAATTTTTCTTAATCAAATGCTCTTCAAAATGACGGAAGATAGTAAACAATCAGTTCGTTATATGTAAATCTGTTCGCTATAAAAACTCCTGATACAAGGAACTAATTCGCTATATGCTTACAAGGAACTCCGGATATAAGGAACATATTTTGAATGTCCCGATGAGTTCGTTATAAGCGGAGTTTACTGTACCATTAAATGCCTATTTCTAGAGAACTAATTGATGGATGATCACCAAACTTTGATTGCAGTATTCTTGGGTAGTCTTCAATCAAGTTTGCTCATATGAATTTTATAAGCCCTTTTTAGGGGCCGCTTAAGCTAAAAAAAGAAATACCTTTAAATGTCTATTTCTAGAGAACTAATGGATGGATGATCACCAAACTTTGTCTTAAGCATTGTTGGGTAGTCTTTTATGAAGTTTGCTCATATTATTTTGATTGGCCGCTTTTAGGGGCTGCTTAAGCTAAAAATAGAAATACCTTTAAATGTCTATTTCTACAGAACTAATGGATGAATGATCATTAAACTTTGTCTGAAGCATTGTTGGGTAGTCTTTTATCAAGTTTGCTCATATTAATTTAATTGGCCCCTTTTATGGGCCGCTAAAGCTAAAAATAGAAAAACCTTTAAATATCTTCTACTTCAGAACCAATTGATGGATGATCACCAAACTTTGTCTGTAGCATTCTTTGTCTGTAGTACTCTTTTATCAAGTTTGCTTATATTTATTTGATTAGCCCTGTTTAAGCTAAAGCTTAAATACCCCAGGTCATGGCATTTCTTCAAATTATTGTTTAAACATGTTCTATGCTCAAATTTAATATTAGAATATATTGACATTCCAACACTGAAAAGCAGTTGTTTCTGGTGAGCGACTCAGGGCCATCATGGCCCTCTTGTATCTTTTAGTACTATATATAGCAATGTATATATTATATATATCTTTTATTACTATATATAGCATATAGCACTGTATTTGCCATTTATATCTTGAAGAACTATATATAGCAATGTATATACTATTTATATCTTTTATTACTGTATATAGATCTGTATATTAGAACAGTGTTATCGTTTTTGCTTCCAGGACAATGTAGAGCATCAGCTTACAGAGAAAGATGACCACACAATACATTTTGAGTATTTAGTGAAGACTGGTGTTGGGGTATGGGCATCTTTCATTGGTCAGCCAAATATCTGCCTGTACCACAGTGAGAGCAGGCGACTGCTACAGGACTTCAATATCTGCACTGCTGTCCATGAATTCATTAAAGGTAAACTTACATGTTTATCTCATTTACTCGCTATTTAAATATATACTATGCTCATGTTAGAGTAAAATATTTCTATCCCAAAAATTAATTGAAATTTATGTAATTCTTTCTGAATATGTCTTAATTTAATAAAAGAATGTACAAACTGCAAGTGGCAAGCTGCATATCCTATTACAGGTCAAGAAAAGTTGGTCCTTTCTTAAAAAATGGTCAGGTTTTTTAATGACACTAAATATTCAAATTGTGTCCACCTATAGTGTGTAGGGTTTAAAACATAAGATATATACTTTGTGTGTCTTCAAAACATGTTTAAGTATATCAACAAAGATACCGTGTAGCAATTATCAATATTTAAAAATATAAAATGTGAGCACACTATATCTGTATGACAATTTTGATTTTATTGATTCATTTTATGTGTATGTTGGATAAAATAAAACTAATGTGACAACTTTTATCACTCCTAAACAACATCGGATGATTTAATTACTTGAAGAATAAGGACAATAATATATATATCCCTTTCTGGGGGTACTATAGAAATGGCTGCCAACTCTCCGTTCATCTGTTCGTCTGTCTCTCCATCCTTGACACTTTCATGTCTGCTTCATTACCACTGAATTTTTATAGGCCCGTTTGTTCACCATTGTGAGGTGGAGTGTTGCGTGCAAAATTTAGGTCCCTGTGGCCAAGGTCACACATAAGGGGTCAAAGTTCAGATAAAAATATGAAATTGTGTATTCGGAACATTTATCAATTACTGAGGGATTGAAACACAGATGGTCATTATCACAACTACCAGTGTGAAACATGTAATTAAGGTTAACATATGAAAGGTCAAGGTCACAAAATATGATAAAATATAGAAATTTTGTCCAGAGCATATCTCCTCCACGCATGGTGGGATTCTTCATAGAAATGTTCACCACTATGAGAAGCAGTGTCAAGTGCATGAACCATGTCTCTCAACTAAAGGTTAAGGTCATTTAAAAATGCTTGTTAGGTGCCAAAATTCTACATTCATCGGGGGATTTTAATGTAACTTGGCACAAATGTTCACCATGTGAGGCTTATTGGCCACATAAACCAGGTCCCAGCTACCAAAGTCAAGGTCACATAGAGAGGTTAAAAATTCTGTACTTGTTAATATCTGATAAATTGATATTTATCATGCCCCTGTGGTCACAATTGATCTGCCCCAGGGTCACTTGCACTTGATAATAAGAAAACAAATTTAAGTCTTACTGTGTGAAACTACAAAGCACAGAGCTTAGATATTTGGCATGCAGTATAGGTTTGTTAATTTCTACAAAAGTTGTAATAATCATGACCCTTAGGTCAATTTTGGCCATGCTACATGAGTCACTTGCTTTATGTAATGTACACTAAGGAATTTTTGTGGATAAAAACTAGGCCTCTATATTTGACACATAGCATTGCCGAGTTGGCCTCTATAATAGTAGGCAACTGTCTGTATACAATTTCTAACTGCATAAACCTGCTATACTTTTCAGTATATTCTGGAATAGAAGAAAGAAAGAATTTTCAAGTTACTTGTTTAATGGCAAGTCTTGGGCTGCTGTGGGTTGGAACTAATGTTGGAATAATACTGGTATATCCTCTTCCAAGATTACGAGATGGCGTCCCAAGAATTAACGAGCGTCCACAAGTAGCTCTCCACAGTCATAGTGGAGCAGTAAAGTTTCTATTACCGATGCATTACGGGCCAGTTAGTGGGGCACCTATAAGAAGAAGGATGGAATCTGTCCTTAAGAAATACAAAGTTGATGACTCTGTAATAAGACATTTATCTATTGTTGATGAAAACGAGACAGCTGACAGTAGACCAAATTCTTATATAAGTTTGGATGCTGTTGCATGGTGACAGGTGATAATGTGTATGAAGATGTTGATTTCCAAGGTTATAAAAGAGATACTGACAGTCAGATTTATGAAGAAATTCCAAGTAAAGTGACGGAAGTTAAAGGTAGTGCTAATAAAAATCCTGCAGTAGTACCTAAAGGGGATGACCAGGCTGAAGACAAGGAATCAGATCTGATTCAATCTGATGAGCACAAATATTTCATTTTAGAACCTCATTGTAGAGAAACTAACAAAACTGACGAAAAGTCAAGTGCAGTAGATCTGAGTAAAGTTGAGATGAAAGGTGGTGCAGATATAACTGAAACATCAGATGATGTATTCCTTAGACCGAAAAATAAGAACAAAAATATTAATGTAAGAATGAAAAGGAATTGTGATATGGACCGGAAATCAATGACTTTGTCTTACAATGCATCTTTACACGGCAAACAGTCTAAAGTATTTCATTCAGAATTAAAAAATGCGTTAAAGCATAGAAAGTCTCTGGAAGACTTGACTGATAGAGATGCTACACAAGATGAAGTTAGTAATTTATATCCAACTTTAGTCAGGCCGAAAACAATTTCAAATCCGGCAAAATCATTACGAGACAGTGGCCTTTCTTCAAGTTTACCGGATATTAGGGACGAGTCTAAGAAAGAGAAAGATAAAGACTCCCTGTACTTCCGACCACGAATGAGTAGTGGAATAAAAGCGAAAAAACCGGAACTCTCTCCTCCAAGTAAAGACTCGACAAAAAAGGAGAAAAAGCCGTCTCGGTTTTCTAAGCGAGACTCTACACCGAAAGAAACTAGACGTTCTGTTTCCTTTAACAAGGATGACACAATGGAAAATAAGAGAAAGTCGGCAGTTGGTACCAGTTTTTCACAGGGCTCATCAGTAGATACTCTCAGAAAGCAAGACACTAATACAATAATGGTAATTAGTGGAGGTGATGGTTATAAAGATTGGAAGAAGAGACAAAGTTTACCAAATTACAGACCAGAAGAGCCATGTCTTATGTTTTGGATGTACAAATTCTAGATACATTATATTTACTGCTGTTTAATATTGATGCAATAAAAAAAGCATGTACTAGATTTTTAGATATATATTTTATAGTCGATTATAGTAAAGCTGGACTGTGATTTACATGCTGTACATTTCTGAAAAAGCAGTTTGATATGAAAAGAATGTTGTTAATTTGTTAATTATAAATAATTTATTGAAATATATATTTGTTTTGAGAATCAACCTGTAATAAGAGACAACATTTTTAATTTTTTTTTAGATAGTTATTTTTAAGTTTCATTCCATATGTACCAATATTTCATTCCATGTTCATGCATAGCATTATTGTCCTCTGCTTTTTGCTAAGAGTGTGCAATACTCTCATTCATGTGATTATTCTACAATATACAGGTATATTATACAAAAAGGTTGACATTTCCTTTTTTTAATATTTTTTTTGTTCTAGTAGACATAATATTTGCTGGTCGAAAAGTTAAATTAAATACAGGTTGTACATGTTCATGAACAAAGTAATTGTCATGGATTAAGTGTTAATTCAAGTAATTTTTTACATTTGTAAATTTGAAATTTTGAGATGACTTATTCCGTTGCTATTATATGTGAAGAAAACAATTCATTTGTGGTTTTAATCCAAGTAGTCTCAATGCAAGTTCATTGAATGGCATTAACCGTCAAATAATTGAATTTTGGAAGGTCAAATGATTGAATTTTGCTTATAGTTTCTTAACATGGTCATTTATTCATTGAAATGATTCATACTTGGAAAAAAACATCAAGTGTGATGAGACTGACATATTAAAATTGCAATAAAGGAAAAACTCATTAGTGTGCCCCCATTATGAAGGGTGGACAATTTAGATTTACCCTTGTCCGTCCGTCCATCTATCCGTCCGTTCTATTTTGTGTCGCACATAGCTTAAAGTATTTGACATAGAGTCATGAATCTTTATAGGAATATTAGTCAGCATGTGTAGTTGTGCACCTTGGTGTTTGCGTGTGGATTTATTCGTTATTTGTAGAATTATTGCCCTTGACTAAGTAAAAATTTACAAATTTCAAATAGTGTTGCACATACATGTAGCTCAAAAAGAATTTGACCTATGGTCATAAAACTTTACAGGAATGTTACACAGCATGTAAAGTTGTGCACCTGGGTGTTTTCGTGTATATTTATTCAGTATTTGTTGTAGTTATTGCCCTACTCTTAGTAAAAAATTTCCATTTTCAACTTGTGTCACACATAGCTCAAAAAGTATTTGACATATAGTCATAAAACTTTCCAGGAATGTTGCTCAGGATGTGCAGTTGTGCACCTGATGTTTCACCTGTGGATTTATTCTGTTTGTTAGAGTTATGGCCCTTGACGTAGTAAAAATTTGCAATTATTAACTTGTGTCTCATATAGCTCAAAAAGTTTTTGACTAGGGTCATGAAACTTAACAGGAATGATACTCAGCATGTGAAGTTGTGTACCTGGAGTTTCAATGGTGGATTTATTCTGTTTTCTCAGAGTTATGGCCCTAGACGTAGTTAAAATTTACATTTTTCAAATTGTGTCGCAGATGTGTTGAGTATTGAGTGTACCTTGAGTGCTTGAGTCAGAATAAACTAGTTTTACAGGAATGATGATCAACATCACTGTGAAGCTGTACTCCTGGTGTTTTGCATGTGGATTTTTATGCCCCCACTTTAGGGGGGAGGGGGGCATTTAGATTTATCCTTGTCTGTCCTTCCGTTCTCATTTTGTGTCGCATGTAGCTCAAAAAATGTTTGACCTAGAGTCATGGAACTTTACAGGAACGGTGATCAGCATGCATAGCTGTGCACCTGGGTGTTTGCGTGTAGATTAATTCAGTATTTGTTATAGTTATTACCCTTGACGTGGTAAAAATTTGCTATATTCAACTTGTGTCACACATAGCTCAAAAAGTATTTGACATATAGTCATAAAACTTTACAGGAATGTTGCTCAGGATGTGCAGTTGTGCACCTGATGTTTCACCTATGGATTTATTCTGTTTGTTAGAGTTATGGCCCTTATTAAAATTTTGCAATTTTTAACTTGTGTTTCATATAGCTCAAAAAGTATTTGACTAGGGTCATGAAACTTTACAGGAATGCTACTCAGCATGTGAAGTTGTGTACCTGGAGTTTCAATGGTGGATTTATTCTGTTTTCTCAGAGTTATGGCCCTTGACTTAGTAAAAAATTACAATTTTCAAATTGTGTCGCAGATGTGTTGAGTATTGAGTGTACCTTGAGTGCTTGAGTCAGAATAAACCAGTTTTACAGGAATGATGATCAACATCACTGTGAAGCTGTACTCCTGGTGTTTTGCATGTGGATTTTTATGCCCCCACTTCAGGGGGGAGGGGGGCATTTAGATTTACCCTTGTCTGTCCTTCCGTTCTCATTTTGTGTCGCACGTAGCTCAAAAAATGTTTGACCTAGAGTCATGGAACTTTACAGGAACGGTGATCAGCATGCATAGCTGTGCACCTGGGTGTTTGCGTGTAGATTAATTCAGTATTTGTTATAGTTATTACCCTTGACTTGGTAAAAATTTGCTATATTCAACTTGTGTCACACATAGCTCAAAAAGTATTTGACATATAGTCATAAAACTTTACAGGAATGTTTCTCAGGATGTGATGTTGTGCACCTGATATTTTGCCCATGGATTTTTTCTGTTTGTTAGAGTTATGGCCCTTGACGTAGTAAAAATTTTCAATTTTCAACTTGTGTCGCACATAGCTCAAAAAGTATTTGACCTAGGGTCATGAAAATTTTACAGGAATGCGACTGTGATTCAATTGGTGATTAAATTGCGGATTCATTCTATTTTGTCAGAGTTATGGCCCTTGACACAGTAAACATTTACAATTTTCAAATTATGTCACACATGTGTTGTGTACCTTGAGTGCTTGAGTCGGAATCAACCAACTTTACAGGAATGATGATCAACATCACTGTGAAGCTGTGCTCATGGTGTTTTGCATGCCCATTTTAGGGGGGCATTTAGATTTATCCTTGTCCTTCCGTTATCATTTTGTGTCTCCCATAGCTCAAAAAGTGTTTAACCTAGAGTCAAGAACCTTTACAGGAATTTTGATCAGCATGTGAAGTTGCCCACCTTGGGTCTCGCTTGTGGATTCATTCTGTTTTGTCAGAGTTATTGCCCTTGACTTAGTAAATATTTGGCAATTTTCAACTTATGTCGCACGTAGCTCAAAAAGTATTTTGACATAGGGTCATGAATATTTACAAGGAATGTTGATCAGAATGTGAAGTTGTGCACCTGGGGGTTCGCTTGTGAATTTAAATATTTTATCAAGAGTTATTGCCTTTGACTAAGTGAAAATTCTAGTTTACAATTTGTGTCATGTGTAGCTCAAAATGTATTTAACCTAGTCATGTAACTTAAGAAGAATGTTGGTGAACATGTGTTGTTGTGCACTTTGGGTTTCGTTTGTGAATTTATCCAGTAATTGTTGAGTTATTGCCCTTGACTTAATAAAAACCGCTTCATTATGTTGTGTTATTTGTTGCTTTAGTGCTTGAGTTAGAATCAACTTTACAGGAATAATGATCAACATCACTGTGAAGCTATGCACCTCGGATTTTGCATGTGGATTATTTTCAGTTTTGTTAGAATTTTTGCCCATGACTTAGTATAAAGTTGCAATTTTCAACTTGTTCATGCATAGCTAAAAAGTATTTGACCTGTAGGCCTGAAAGCTTACAAGAATGTTGGTCAGCATGTTTACTTATGAACCTTGGGGTTCAATTTTGGATTTATTCAGTATTTGTGAAGTTCTTGCCCTTTACTTAGTAAAATATTTTTAGTTTTCAACTTGTGGCACATGTAGCCCAAAACATATTTGACCTTGAGTCATAAGATTGACAAAACAGTGGAGTGTGGGGGCACCCTTGTCCTATGGACACATTTCTAGTTTTCCATTGTTTTTAGCTCGACTATTCGATAAATAGAGCTATGCTAGTCACCAGAACGTCAGCGTAACCACTTACGTTAACGTTTTTGAAACACGTCAAATATTTTCAAAGTCAAAAGACATATGGTTTTGAATCTTTGCACACTTGTTCACCATCATACCCCCAATCTGTAGACACGAGAGGTAACTCTATCAAGCATTGCCCCTTTTTCAACTTAGAATTTTTGTTAAAGTTTTTGTAACACATCAAATATTTTTTCCATCGACATATGGAAATTTTGCACACTTGTTCACCATGCACCAAACTGTAGACAGAAGGAGGAAACTATCAAACTTTTTGACAGAATTATGCCCCTTTTTCAACTAAGAATTTATTTTAATTTTTTTGTAACCCCTAAAATATTTTCAAAGTCCATTGACATGTGACATTGAAACTTTGCACACTTGTTTACCATCATGACCCCAACCAACCTGTTGACAGGAGAAGGTAACTATCAAGAATTTTGCCAGAAATATGTCTCCCTTTATTTAGAATTTACGTTAAAGTTTTTGTTTTACCTCAAATTTTACAAAGTCCATTGGCAATTATAGCTTTAAACTTTACACACTTGTTCACCATCATGCACCAAATATGTAGACATGAGGAGGTAACTATATCAAGCATTTTGACACAATAATGTCGCTTTTTCGACTTAGAATTTAAATTTAAGTTTGCATACCACCGCCACCTCAGATATTTTCATATTCCATTGACATATGGCTTTGAAAGAAGTTGAAATTTTATACACTTCTTTGAGAGCATAATAGGACTCTCTTTAAGTCGTTTAACTGTATCATGGATTTAAAGAAAAATGTGGCCTTTTTGTTAACTAAGAAAATTTTACATTATCAAGGCTCTTGTACAGTATCAAGCACTAAGAATAGTCTAACGTGCTGTCCTACCCATAGCTCTTGTCAGAGTTATTGCCCTTGACTTAGTATTAGTTATAGACTTATTCATGCATAAATCAATAAGTATTTGACCTGTATACAAAAAGTATACAAAAATGTTAGACAGCATGTGTAGCTATGCACCTTGGGTTTGCTTGTGGATTTATTCAGTAAATGTAGAGTTTTTCAAAAGATTTTCAGTTTTAACTGTGTCACATGTAGCCCAAAAACATTTGACATAGAGTCAGTAGATTGCCAAAACTGTGGAATGTGGGGGCACCCGTTTCTTTTTGACACATTTCTAGTTTTCTTTAATTTTTGTTTTAATGATTTGTTTTAACCTTTTATTTATTTGTTTTTAGAAAAAAAGTTGTTTTAAAGTCGAGGGTTGCCCTCAGACGGAGGTGGCTCATCTTGTGAATGATATGAAATTTTGGATGCAAGTTATTTGTTCAGACCTACATCAAATGGTATACAAATTTTTAGAAATCATTTCCAGTTATGTCCTAGAAAACAAATACCTCAGGGGTGTCCCTATAGCAAATAAAGTTAGCTACGCTAGCCTTTAAGGTACATTCATAGAAATTACCTTTATTGAGTTAGTGAATACAAAAATAGGCCTAACATATTGTTTATAAAGATATAATGGTGATAATTGTACATGTTCACATTAAATATGGATTGTGAATAATTTTTTGCTTATCAATTTTTGATTCACTTTGATCAATTTGATTACTCCACAGCAGGTGTACAGCATAAGTTAGAAGCTTTTAAACATATTAAAAGAGTCTTTAACCGTGTTTTTCTGATCAGACGGTAATTTTTACATGCTATTCATATTGTTGATGTTTTTGTTTGTATAGCTTATATTAACAGGGTATGATTGATTTTATACAAATGTTCATTTAATATGCATACTCATTTATAAAAAAGGTAGGAATGTTTAAGGCTTAAATGGGCTTGCTGTCTTTCTTGAAATGAATGTTTATCTCATAAAACAATAATCAGGATGATAGGTGAAAGTATAAAGTTAACAATTTGTACTAATTTTACAAAATGGTACTACATTAAATAATTGTTTATTGAACAGTTGTTCAGATAGATTTTCTTTAAACAAGTACATGACTGTATACATGGTTTTGAAATAAAAGTCAACAAGAACTTATCTTGTTTTGTTATAACAAGCCAACATGATCTAAATTTTACCATTTAAGTCAGGGTAGAAAATGTGTAAGCTACCTTTGAGTTCTATAGCTTTTTAGCTCGACTATTTGATAAGAATAAGTAGAGCTATCCTAGTCAACCGAGCGTCGGCATAACCACTTATGGTAAAGTTTTTGTAACACCTCAAATATTTTCAAAGTCCATCGACATATGGCTACTTGTTAACCATCATGACCCCAACCTGAAGACAGGAGAAGGTAACTCTGTAAAGCATTTTGATAGAATTGTGCCACTTTTTCGGCTTAAATTTTACATTTAAGTTTTTGAAACACCTCAATATTTTCAAAGTCCATTGACATATGACTTTGTACTTTGCACACTTGTTAACCATCATGAACAGGAGGAGGTTATTCTTTCAAGTATTTTGACGGAATTATGCCCCTTTTTCGACTTAGAATTGATGTTAATGTTTAAATGCCACCTCAGATATGTTCATATGCTATTGACATCTGGCTTTCAAACAGGTTAAAATTTTATACACTTTTTTGAGAGCAAAATAGGACTCTCTCCAAGGTTTATAACTGTAATGTGGATTTGAAAAAAACATTTGGCCGTTTTGTTAACTTAGAAAATGTTACATTATCAAGGCTCTTTTACTATCGAATATGTTAGAATATGCAAGAAAAGGTATTTCACATGTTTGTGGTTCGCTTGGGAACCCACCCATTGGAGGTAACTCGGCAAGCCTCTTTATGATTCAATGGGCGGGTCCTCTTGGGAAGGATATTCCTATCTAAACCGCAACATATGACAGATATTATTAATCTTATGATTGCTTTTAGAACATCTTCGCCATGTGATTGTTTTCAAAAGTCACATGTATCGCTGTGTAGAACAAATTGCCATCTAGAACAGAACTTCTTTGTCTATTCTTTTCTAGAATCACGTATGGCCGTTAACAGTTTATCGTGAAATTATTGTCTAAAATATGATAAACAAGATCAACAAGAAAAGGCGGCGTTCAATGAACGCAACCCCCACATGACCCAGCAACAAGAACCAATGGCAAGGAGCCCAGGGGGACCCCAAACAAACTTCCTTTGTCTTATTATTATTTTCAAGATACATTTATATGACTATTGTCTAGGAAGGTATTTTGGTTAGCTTCTAGAACCTGTTTTCTTATCATTGTTTACTAGGACCTCTTTTTTAATAATTGTTTACTAAAATTACTTTTCTTATCATTGTTTATTTTTAGCTCGACTATACGAAGTATATGGAGAGCTGTCCTACTCGCACGGCGTCGGCGTCCACGTCCAGATTTCAGATTAAAGTTTTGGTGCAGTAAAATATTTTTCACTATAACTTTTTCATTTCTTAAGGTATCAACTTCAAATATATGTTTCTCAACACCAACCGCATCTTATGTGACAAGGTTCATAACTCTAGCGCCAATATTTTCAGATTTATCTCCCCTTTAACTTAGAACTTTCCTTAAAAAATTTCACTCTTAACTGTAACTTCTTTATTACTTATGGGATCACCTTCATAGTTCAAATATATGTTCCTTATTATCAACCACATCTTCTGTGACAAGGTTCATAACTCTAGCACCAATATTATCAGATTAATCTCCCCTTGAACTTAAAATTTTTCTTAATAATATTTTTACTGTAACTTTTTTATTACTTAAGGGATCAACTTCATACTTCAAATATATGTTCCTTATCATTAACCAGACCTTATGTGACAAAGTTCATAACTCTAGTGCCAATGTTGCAAGAATTATCTCCTTGTTAACTTAGATCTTTTTACTTGAAAAATGTTTTTTTTTGACTATAACTTCTTTAGTTTTAAAAGGAATATACCTCAAACTTCAAATACATATTCCTGATCATCAACAAGATCTTATGTGACAAGGTTCATAACTCTCGAAGTAATATATTCAGATTTATCTCCCTTTGAACTTAGAAATTTCTTAAAGAAATATTATAACTTCTTTACTTTTTAAGGTATCTACTTCAAACTTCAAATATATATTTCTTATCATTACACACATGATGTGTGACAAGGTCCATATTTCTAGTGTGACTATTTCCAGAATTTTCACCCTTTGAACTTGGAATTAATGTTAACAACAATAACTTCTTGTCATAAGAAGAAATATATTTATATCATAATTGATTTTTCTTTTATGCTTTTGTTGCGACGGACGCGCCCTCAGGCGCGTTCAGAGCTAAGTCATCTACACATGGGATTTCGTCAGTTACAATCGCGCAAAGTGTCCTCAACCGATTAACAGCCCAAGAAATAGTACATGAATTTGATCCTTCAAAACTCCCATACTTTGTCGGGATATCTTAAAATCTTCCATATTTAGCCTTTTTAATTTCAAATTAAGTTATCCAAGTTAAAATATGAACGTTTATGATTGATAAAAACGTTGTAGTCTCGTAGTAATATTGCGCAATATGCAAATTACTGCCGAAACGATTTACCGCTGTCGAAAAAGTAGGACAGCAAATTATACTATAATAAAGGTGTAAGCTCTGAGTTTCAAGAAATTATTAGTAGGAAATAAATATTTCTACATTATACAAAACATTATTATTAGCAAATCAAAAGTTTTTCGTGACTCTAGGGTAACTCGCGCATTAATAAAAGAAGAACTATTTTCGTGACTCATACCGCAAGTTTAGCTGAATATTCAGCAGTTATTAATAAATTAGATACAGTACAATGTTTAGTATAAATATTTATTTTTGAAAATGCATGTAACAATTAAGGGAGTTTTTCAACACTTTACCACCCTGTAGTCTGTTATGGTAAGGAAGTTATAATATCAGTTCTACTTCCGATTCTTGTGGTTTGTTTACATATTTTTCTAGGTCACGATATGAGTTAACCTTCGCTATTCTAAAAATAGATTCTGCTTCACCTGTCCTGATTTTTGGACAGGGCGATTAGGGAGTACACATTATACATGTAATAAACCAGCGGATTACATGCAATACTTTTAGAAATTCTATACAATTGTAAGAAGCAAACAAGTTGAAAATGGAATTAAGTGTGAAATTGAAAAGGACAACTAAACACTGTAGTGCTTAAGTGACATTTAAATTAAAATAAAAACGATGTGCTCTGGCCTCTACATCTTTACCTTGTAAATAAAAAAAATCTAAAAAAATACACTTTTAATTGCTGATGATTTTAACCAAAAACATTTTTAATGAGACATATCCAAGAGAGAAAAAATACAAATGACTTATATTTTATTATCTATATGCCCACTATGATATAACACGAAGCAATTCTAAATAGCATTCTCACATATGTATAATGTATTATGCTATGGTTTTATTTTAGAAATATTTCGTTGACAGTATTTTTTTTCTATTTACATATCATTTCTTGGAATAAATCGATAAGGACACTGATTTTTGACCAGAGTTTTTAGGCATAAATTTCATTCTGTATTTAAGTGCTTGAAAGTAGAAAATCAGAATTATATCAGTTTGGGACACAAAATATATTGCTCTACAAAACTCGAACTTGTATCGAACAAATTTTCTCTGTTATATATTTTGTGTTTTGTTTTTGGTTTTTTTTTTTTGTTTTTTCTAAAAAAAGCCTTAATGTCTCTCCGGTTGCATGTCCGTCGCATTCAGTGCTGCAGCACTTTGATATTCCTTACTGCGTCCAGTATTTTATAAATCGAGCTTCGCTATCTCCTGTGACAGCTCTTGTTAGAGTTTCTTATCATTATCATGTTTTTTGTCTAGAACCACTTTGGTTGTTTTGCAAATATGACTCTTGCTGCTGATAGTTGGATACTTAAGGTGAATTTTATTATGACAGGAAAAGTAGTTATAGTTAACAACGTGAGGTACTTATATAACACTTATATAAAAG